ACAAATCCTCTTTTGTATATAGATAGATAGATTCTTCAAGATCTGTTTTTGTCATCTTTTGATGAGTTAAAAATAAAGATGGAGCCTTTACTAGAGAGGTGAAAAATTTGTAATCAGTATTCTTCTATTTGTAGAACTCCAAAATCTGTTCCAGACTAACAAAACATAACATTATATACACAGAATAATAATGTTATTTTTCCATAGACGTGTGCCCTGTCTACATCACTGTTGGTCATTCACACAGAAAAATAAGGGAGGATGTATCCTCAAGGTATCATCTAACGTGCCAAGAAAAAACTTTGATGCTCATTTTCAGATAGTATGCTCAATTCTACAGAAATCGTTATGAAAAGAAGCTGCATGTGATACCATAGGTGAACAAATCAGAAAAATATGTAAAAGAACTTAGCCACTAGCCACTTCCTTGACCAATGTCTTGTACTTAAACCAAACACCCTTATATGTACAAGTATTTCGACGTTCTACATGTATTTAGATTTAAATATAGTGGTAGAAAATAACTAATATTCTTGCATACTATAGATATACACAACAAAAAAATAAGGTCCAACATAATGCTTTAGAGTCAGTTGTGTTGAAAGCAGCCTTTTTAAAAATCTAATTGATGATATAGAAAATGGGGTGTAGTGCATGATCTAATTCGTTGGAAATGATCATTGTGCCTACTTGAAATTGAAGGGCATGGCTGATCCAGCTATTCTAATTGTTCTTGTATAGTGCATCCTCATCTGTTTGTTTGTTTTGGTGTGAATTTCGCGCAAAGCTACACGAGGGCTATCTGCGCTAGCCGTCCCTAATTTTGCAGTGTAAGACTAGAGGGAAGGCAGCTAGTTATCACCACCCACCGCTAACTCTTGGGCTACTCTTTTACCAACGAATAGTGGGATTGACCGTCACATTATAACGCCCCCACGGCTGAAAGGGCGAGCATGTTTGGTGGGATGCGGATTCGAACCCGCGACCCTCAGATTGTGAGTCGAGCGCCTTATCCACCTGGCCATGCCGGGCCCTTCCTCATCTGTACAACGAGGTTAACTATCTCGTTTTATTTCAACAAATTATTTAAAATAATATCAAGATTGCAATGCGTCTAAAATTA